CGCCTTCTCGCCAGCTTTTTCTAGATCTTCCTTGTTTACTTCTTTTTTTATGGGTTCCATTGTTGGATTCGTTTTGGTACTTATGATCGGTTTTCTTAAGATTGATTTCCAGCCTCTATTGTACTCTCCTGATAAGTTTTTTGTCATGGTACTTTTAGTCGTCATAGACTTGAGCCAGTTCTTTTAGTACTATTCGAGCATCGGTAGAACATCACAGCGTGGTATACCCCTGTTCTTTCTTGTCCCAAATAAGCATAGGAGAAATACAACACCATTTATTGATTTAAAACCATTGAGCCAGCCGTTGTTTTATTTTCACTTTCGCCATGATATTGTTTTGTAGTTGAAATGTCTCAAGTAGTTCTAAGATTATATTTGATTCTTCTAAGTATATTTAGAGATACATAGGCTTTTGATACCTCTTCATGCAGCTAATGAAAAACTTGTTCATATTCTATAGGCTATTGGTCCATAATCGATTTTTTCATAAACTCGGCTTGTTTTTCTGCTTTCATATTTTTATACGTTTTTCATCGATTTTACACCTGGTACTAGTCACACCTGTATAATTGTCTCTTCTTGCTTGTTTGTGAATTGTGGATATGTGAGAAGTAGTCAAATCCTCTGGTATATACTTTGGTTTCCTTTAAGTGTTTTTGATACAGATTCCGTTCTCCCTAGAATAGTTCCTACTGTGCCGTATAAAATCAGTTCTGCCAGAATATTATTTTTATTAGATCTTTGCTCCTTTTTTTACCTCAGGAAGTGTCATATCATTCCTATCACTTTTGTTTGTGCGATCTTGTAATTTTGTTCGAATGAATGAATTGGGGGTATTGTTACACTGCGATCTACATAGATCTATTGTGTTCCCCTTTTGGGTGACCCAGTTGGTAGGATACTCACTCGAAGCACCTCATCCAGCTCTGGAGCTTTGATGAAAGCAAGTAGGCTGGATGGTTCTCTGAATATTCTTGTCCAACGGTGCAGCATCTGAAGCAGGCTATTCGTATTTTTACGATCTCCTCGTACTCCATGAGAAGGTGTTCTGGAGTGTCTCCCCCTACCTCACAGAACCAGTAGCGGTCCTCGTTTTTTATTTTAATTCTACTTTAACCGGCAGTGACCTGCTACGAACCCAGTGAGAATGCGAAGATTGAGGACCGAGACACATCTTTGATCAACCCTGGCAGTTTTTCCTAGAGGGTGATCCATTTGGTACGCTTTTCCTTTCTGGTCTGCGTCTATATGCCATAGGCCATAGGCTCTGGTCCTGAAAGCATAGTTTTTGCTCCTAATTACGCCAATTGGTCCCCTTTCTCATTGCCTTCAATCCCTGCGTCACCTGGTATCCACTGGAGGGATAATTTGTTATTTTTGCCAGTTTTTTCAACTTATCCAGGCATTCTGGAACTGATATTGGCCAGTTAAATGCTTTGATAGCTGCTTGACTGTCTGAGAATATGACAATCTCTTTCTTTTTGTAGTTTCTGTCAAGATATAACTCAGTACGTCTACTTTTATTTCCGCCTGAAACATGTCTGGGAGTTTTCCCATTGCTTCGGAGAACTTGATTCTAGGCCAAATTACTCCGGCTCCGGTCCCTTGTTCAGTTCTTGACCCATCAATATACCATTTTTTGACGTTCTGGTGCATATTAAGAATGGATGTGGTGTTTCCTTCCCATTCTTCTCTGCTTCTTATCACTAATGTCAAGTTTATATGTTTTGATCATATGATCCCTGGGAAGCTCGAGGAGCGGAATAAACTGGGTTAAAGATGCCAGTTCTCTCCTTCCAAGCCAACCTCCTCGTCTGCCTACCCTCCCTCGAGTTCTAGTTAATGCTCGTCTAGAAACCTCCACCACCACGATATGAAGAGATGCAAGACTTAAAGTCCGTCGTTTTTAATCTGACACTTTCCGTATGAGGAGCGAGGAGGTATTTCATATAGAAAAAACAGGTGTGACGTCAGGTAATAATTGGCGTTCTAATGTAGCGAGCCACCAGCTCACATTCCTTTGGAGTATCAGATTAAAATCGACAGACTATACACAATTGTCTCGATGACCGCTGTGGGACAAGTTTGTATTGCGCGCGTAATTCACGTGCACGCCTGGCGCTGTAGTTTGTTGAGAGCTGCTTTCTGCTGCTGTTCCGCTTCTCAACTTTTTTGAACCAGACTTTGGATCCATATAGTAGGGTTGGTGTTACTATCATGGTGAATATCCATTTTAAGATCCCTGGTTTGCATCCCCAAGTTTTGCCTGCAAGGTTTCGACACACCATGAGAGAGAGCCCTTGTAGCATTGGTTACAACTTCTTCTTTCATTATGTTTTCTCCATCTCCATTCCAGCATTATGCCGAGATGTCATAGGTGTAATATAACTTTTGTGTATTCGGATATCCTTCTTCCTAGTGAAAGGCACTACGGTGGTTTTTGACACTATTCCTCCGTTGCTTTCAGTCCAGTCTGTATGAGTTCCCACAGGGTGCCCTTCTTGCTTTGATGAAGATTTCATCGGCATACCTGACGCTGTGCAATTTTGTTTCCTTTGATATGTTCTTTTTGGGTAAGTATGTGTAGTATAGTGTTCGCTTATCAAAACCATGTTAGATTTTCAGGTTTGACTGACGTTTAAGTTTTTATTTCGTTTTTGCTCTCTTATCTATATTTTTGGCCCATAATTAACTATGATTTTTATTATTATTATTTTTTTTTTTTTTTGCTTTTGGCATCGTTCTGGTTTTTGTTAATTTGACAAACAAATTAAATTTGTACACCGATTAACAGTGCTAACTAAGATATTTCCATGTATTAACAAATTATTTCCACATATTGCCAGGTATTTCCCTAGTATCATCAAATATTACCAGGTATTGCCATGCTATTGACAGACTGAAATCAAATATTTGTTACGTCAGAATTCTAAGCATTGACATATCCACAGGTATTTACATGTTATTAATGGGTATCAACCAATGACATTAACATATATTGCCTAGATATCTACAAGTATTGACATATATTACCCACATAATTAACAAGTAGGTATTGCATAGTATTGACACTATTGACATAGTATTTACCTGGTATTGACATATATTAACCAGTGATTTGTACACCGATTAACAAGGTGAAAAACCCCTCGAACAAACGTTTAATTTCAACTCTTACTTCAACATTATCTTTTGCGTGTTCTTCCTTGAAAAATCCATTCAATAGTTACACATTATAGTTTAATTAATTGATGCCTTCAAGATTCTAATGTTTGTACCTAATTCTCAATTCCTGTTTGCCAAGATCCTCTTTTAATGATATAATAAATTTTGTTTGTTTTTTGATTTGTCATTTAATGATTTGTCAGAGGCTACTGAAAGCTATTACATTAAATGGTAATCAACTAAAGAATTTCCTATTAACCATCACAGTTCCCCCAAAGAAAAAATGGAGTCAATATCTTCGTGCATGGACACTAAATAAATTCAATCGGCTCTACCACTCCCACGACCACTTTTTGTATGGTAATATGGTAACGAGCAAACGGGCATCGGAGAGTTTAGCTTTTACATAAAATGTTTTGTCAGAATCAATAAAATCAATCAGGACACAAAGCGGACATTGTAAAAAACTGTTCTTTCTCTCTCTATCTCGCGCGCGCGCGTTATAATAATATACATTGTGTGTGTGAAAGAATGCGTGTTGTTGGGGCCTTGTGTGGGCAGTACTTGATTGGACATGGACATACCGGTTGGTACTAGGTGCCTTATTATACATTGGTATATCAGGATTAACGATTAAACTCTAATTTTATGGAATTTTTCCTACTGCTATTAGTACCATCAATTCTCATCATACAATTCTAGTAAACACCCACACATGTAGCTACTTACAAGCCTCCAGGAAATTTATTTTAAATTGTTGAAGCATTTTTTTTTTTTTTGCTTCCATCTAAAAATAATATTATTTTTGTTAGTCAAATTCGAGCTAATGCAGAATCTACCAGAAAAAATAAAATCTAATATTGTTCCCCCTACGCCAATTCAATTGGGCCACACTCTCACGGAGATATTTTGTATGATAATTTTTGTGAGAAAAGTAACAAATCAAATTTTCCTATTTTGCATAACAGAGCCAGAACCAAAAGAAAACGAGGAAACATTGAATAGGAATATAATACCAATGACTAACATGGCCTTGTATCAAATTAAGCACAAATGCAACCACAGCCAATAAAAAATGTCAAGACAATTAAAATATAACTGATAATACTGTAAAATAATTATCACATAATTTATAATGAATAATTACAATTATTTACACCTCGCGTAATACATTCTATAAACGCTTTCGGAAAAAGTCGTAAAGAAAACTTTATTACATATAGTTATTGGGTACTTATTGCGTATTGTAATTAAGCGATCATTAAATCTTTTGATTGATATCAAGGAACAATTAAGCGAATAATTGATTAAGTTTAAAGTTGTTCTCAGAACTATTGATTTGTAAATAAATTAGTTCAAGATTTTGGGATATTTAGGCCACAGATGGCACCACAGTCATATGTTTACCATATTATTTGGCTATTAGTTAAACTAGAAATTTGTCTTTCATGGTTAAAATAGGTACCTATTGAATTTCTAAAGAAGCAAAGAACTAAAAATGATGCAATTTTCACTGTCCGGACTATTAATGTGTCAATTTTTTACTATAAAAATCATTCGTCTGCTAAAACAAGAAAAAAAAAGTTACCTATATGTGCAATTCCACGGCTCAAACGCAATTCTCATAAATTTTACGCTTGCTAAAGTACGTTAACCGATGGTAATCTACTGCCAATAATAGGTATATAGTTCTTTCTGGTTGTGTGACTTTGGGCATGCATTACCCAGCTGGTCGGAAAAACGGTAATTAACCCGTATTATTAGAAGAGAGGGCGTTCTCATTTGCTACTGGTAATTATAAACGTTATTTTTATTTGTTTTCTCTTTTGTTTCAGTTGTTCTCTTGGACACGACAGCAGAAGAAGCCAGCCTAGACTGGACCAGATTTCCATATGGACCACAGGCCAATACTCCAGGGGTAAGTTTTTCAAATTGTAAGTCCTAAATTTTGTCTACACCTTTATTTTACCTCAAGAAATAATCTCTTAAAAGTCCCCATCAATATCGCGCTTGCGTTTTCAGATATTCAAAATCAAAAGTCATGAACGTCATTTAATAACGATTGGTTGCCAAATGACAGTTGCTTCATTGGTTATCTGTCAACTATGATCGACCGGTTTATCGCATTTAATCGATGTGAGTCAGTTCAAAACTATTTGGCAAGAAGTCTAGACGTTTCGTTTTGTGATTTAATTAGCCCTCGCGATGGATGAGCCTTGTTTTATTTGCAGTCAATCGCTCTTGAAAGGTGTTACAGTGACTGTAAAACGCGGTATAGATGCTTTAAGAGAAGCAAGCGTGGAAAGAGAAGATAAACATGCAGAACGTTTAAGGGATACAGATTCGGTAAAAGTACATAAAAACTGTCGCAAGGAGTATACATAGTAGCATCTAAAAGTCCCCTCATTTTTCTCGACAGAAGTGTGGTGAGTTGCTTACCCTGCACTTGGATCGCGTATTAGGCTGACAATACTTTGCGCGGGTCCCCTCATTATCGGGATCGCTTTCGGCGGCCAGTGGACGAGACCCCCTAGTATTGTTGGTGCGAGTTGCTCACGAACACGAAGAAAGAAAAGAGAGAGCCAACGATTAAATCCTTCGGGCGCGAAATAAGGTTTTCGGAAAACCTAGTTCGTCGTAAGGGAAACCCGTATTAATCCTCAAATTGCAGGTTGGTGTCCTAGGGGAGTAACATAGTGTCATCTAAAAGACGACGAGATGACGATGCTGCCGGTACCTCTCAGTATTTTCTTCGTAAATTTGATTTAAAAACTTTGTGTTTTTTTTTTGTGATGAAGAAGCCAACGAGGAAACAAAGTCAAAAAAAAACTAAGAAATATCAATGTATAATTGGAAGTTTGGCAATGAGCGGAGAACCGCGCAACTTCCTCTTACAACACCAATCAAAAAATCAAAAAGATCTGTATGCTCATGTTGGCTTATTTGGTTAGAGCGTAGCACCGGCAATGCTGAGGACGTGGGTTCGAATCCCGCCCAGGACCAACATTTTCAATCCTCTAATTTTCCTTATAGCTTTCTTTTCATTTTCAATTTCCACGCTTTTCGGTTGTTGTAACCGACAAAACTTCATTCCTTTTCGACCATGATTTGTTTCCGCCATACTCAAAGTGATATTTTAAGTAAAGCTTGGTATGAAAATAAGAAATCTCAACCGGCAAAAGAACGCCTTCGAATTGTACAAACTGTGACTAAAATTATCAGAGAAGACATTCGTTTCATAACTGTTGATTGGCAATCTTATCCTCCTCCCAGTAGAATGTTTCATAATCTTAACTTTAACATCCCACAGAGCCTTTCATACTTTATTGAAAAATTAATTCTGGAAAACAAAAAAGGCAAAACTGACCATCTTAAGTGTAAGTGTACCGCAATTTGTCATACTATTGTGGCTACGATATGTGCATGATCCTTCACATCTAACCTTTTCTAGATAGTTTGTCAACTCTTGGATGCAGCGCATCATATAGAGAAACATTAATGTATGAAGTTGCTGCTGTCTACCATCCACAACCAGATATTCTATAATTTGAAACTGGTGCTCTTATTCAGTATTCAGCAGATATCAATGATAACACAGTAGACGGCCACAACACGCTTCACATTATGGGGCTTATTAAAATAGTAACACCAAGCAGCGCCGTTGCTTCTGAAGAATCCATGAAGAAATATACCACGATGTAACGGTCAACCCATCGGTCGATACCGAAATAAACGGCCTCTCGGTGAAACGGGAGACGGATGATGATGTAATCTTTACGGTTAGTTGCTGATGCGCAAAATGGTCCCTGCTCGGGCGCCAAATTTGTAACGGGTTTTCCAAGGTTTTTCCTTGAGCTGTGGCAGCTTAACAGTCGGTATTTATTTTTTGGTTAATCCAGCGGTAATCTCAGGCGCCACCCTCAAAATGATAGTGGTTGAGGGCCCACTAGCACCAGGTAGCTTGTTACAGTGGAGAAAGAAAAACCAGGGACCAATGCACAGATAAAGGAATAAAATAACTATCGGAGAAATAAGCCCTAGGTTCAGCACCAGTCCCCGAAAGCTTCTAGCGACAAATTCAGAATCGCGTGTCTCAGCGGGGTAGAAAGTATAACTGATCTATGTCCCTACATTCAACCAGGACATAAGGATTGCGGTTATCCTGCTGGATTTGTCTGTACAGCCGAGACTTGTCCTGATCAGTCTACCCACTACCCAACTCTTTTCGGTACGGGGCGCGGTATTTCGGAGCCAGAACTGAACGGTACAAATGTTAACACCAAATAGATTATGGGCCGATGCTGTGTTTAATGTTAACATTCGTACGTCATGGAAGAGGGGACAGATTACGAGAATGAAGATCGCACATTCTACATCTAAAAGTCACAACAAGAAAGATCATGGATTAGGCCTACAGTAAAAATACAATGTAAAAAAAACGCGCCCCGCATCTCACCTCTGGGGTGATTTTCGAACGCACTCTTGGGGTGATGTGGAAACGGGTGCTATCCTCTGTTTTTCTGGTGGTGGAAACGGTTAGTATGACGTAAAATATGTGAATAAAATTTTTTGAAGAGAATTTCCCAATATTTTTAGCCAAAATAGTCGTAGGACATACCGAAAGCAAAATATTTAAGAAAAACTAATTTCTGTAAATTTGACCTTGAATATCTTGGAACGCAAACAAGATATCGGCGGGAACTTTTAAAATACATTAATTATTGAGGTAAAATATAGATGTAGACAAAATTTAGGCTCACTCGGATTTTTTCAGTAAATGAATCCTTGTATGACTGTACTAAGAAATAAAATGTTTCAATCTAATAGAAAAGTTATTGAAATATCCATTAGCTTTAATTAAAATATTATGTAATAAGTATTTCATTATTCTTTACAGAAAACTATTAAATAGGACCCTTGTATAATGACATAAGTAGATAAATTACCGCAATCGATTGAAAAATAATATTCATCATCAAATTTAATTACAAAACCATTCCCTTGACAAATTAACTAGGAAATAGCTATACAGTAACATCTTTACATACAGTTGCATAATTATTTTTCAGATTGCATCTGTCGAGTGCATAATTCACGATTAAAGATGGAAAGATATCCTTGCAACGTAAGAACGTCACTATTCATTATTTTTTATTATGCAACATGATTTTTTGCTATTTATGCATACCTTCATTTATTATACTTTAAAAGTTGCTTTACGAATTTAACAACACCAAAAAGTATTCCTATTACAAGGCATTATTAAGTTTGTAACATTATCATCCCCCAAAAATATAAAACAAGGGGGTGGATTGCTTTAAAAACTTCTTTCATTTAACTTTGTCTTGGCGAAAGGCAAGAAGTCAACTTTTATAATAAAATATTCCAGAACGGTAGGAACTTTTATGGCCGATATAAAGGCGCAGGCAGGTTAATTTTGATATAGGTACACCCTTACAAAGTGGATGTATGTACGTTTTATACGATTTACGTCAGTTGTAATCGGGGGAGATGATGTATCGTGCAATGCGAAGGAGATCCTGGGAGGGTTGTTTATATGTAAAAGTTTCTTCCGAAAATGGCCATAAAGAAACTTGCCTTAGTAATTTGTTTTCAATTTTGTATTCATTATTATATTTGTGTCTTCCTTATGTAGCTCGTCTACGTTTTCCAGATAATTTAATAGTTTGTCCATTTTTAACAAAAAGTCTATATCCAATAAATTTATCCTCTCTTCGAGTTGAACATTTCCGGAAGAGAGGAGAGCGCACTACAATACAAAATAATGGCACTCAATGCGCTTAAGAAGGCAAATAGAAATCGTTCGAAGGCAAAGTGTATGTGTATATTTTTATTTATGGAGCGAGTCAACTCGAAATTTTAAAGTTTACTAAAGCAAAACAACCCCCGATGCCAGCCTTTCGATTTGTATTTTGTTGCGACTAGCGATAAAAGAGGAAAATTTAATAGAAAACTTTCTCAAAGATCAAAAAAAAAACAACTATTTGCTTGGAATCTCAAGTATATAAACCTAATCAATTCTTTGTTTAATAAATAGAGTATGCTTGTACATACACACAGTTTAGTTAAACATAAACGGCATTATTAAAATGAAAATTCATTTTCCAAATATTTAAACTTTGTCGTAGTCTAATCAAAGAAGAGGGACGCTTTTAATTAAAATCTTCTAAATGTGTTTATTTTAGCATTTCCCGAAAAAGACAAAATGATCATAGAAAATGCAGACAGACGAAAATAATTACAAAAAACATCATGTACATGTCTTGTCGTTTTGCCAAAATAAAAGCCGAGTACGATGATGGAGCAAACAGTTTATTTTTGGGAAAGATGAAGTAGGGGATTTGATGAAAATTGAAACAAAATTCAGTTCGGATGGTCCATTAATAATAGTTTTAAAAAGTGGCGACATAACAACTATGATAATAATTAATCGAAAGTGAAGTTTGATTAATTGATTTGAAAGGGAAGCCTTTAAATGTGCACATCGGAGAGTAGGGGTGGGTTATGTTTGGGCAAAGAAAATCTGTCGTTATTAGGTTATGTCTCACCTATTGGAATGGGCTTTATTTGCCTCGAAAATACTCTGAATTAGTCTGGATCGAGGCCTGGATTCGAAATCCTGGAGTGAGTGAGGTGGTCTTTACTCTACTCCTTAGGGCAGCTTTTCACTAATGATTGAATAGAGAATGTCAGAATCCGCTGTGGGAAAAACGTGCAAAGCAAAACTTACCGAATAGGTCGGCATACACACACGTTATTTCGCGCGGTTTATCGTGGCGTGTTGGGATGTAGCGGTTTGCACGCGCGAAAGAACGGCGTGGCAAAAAAAGCGACATGTTCCATACACTTGACAAAGTATTCAAATGATTTAGCACATGATTACGCGCGGCATATCAG